CACACACACACACACACACACACACACACACACACACACACACACACGTGTTATTGAGAGCCAATTGCTAAAAAGGCTTCAGTCAGTGTCTTGTTATCTAATATACTTCTATGAATAGCCCGGTCAACAGGAGTGTGACAATACACCACATTGCATTGCATCATTCAACATCAGGCTCTCAATACATGAAGCGAAATAAACTATTTTCCTCACCCTTTGTTCAACATCTTTTTATCACCACATCTGGTGGTTTTTGTTATGCGTTAGCCCAAAATATAAAACTGTGATAACACAGCCAAATCTACGCTGCTTAACTCCAACGTCTCAAATGTAAATAGATTTTATTATTTATTCTTTAAAACACATTTGGGACACGACTCGTTTCAGTTTAAGGCTGCATTCAGAGTCATACGTTCTAATTACAGACTTTGTTTTGACTAAAAAGCTTTGGCTGTTTGTTGGTTATTGAATGTAGCATGTAAGTCATGTTAGCCCACCCTGTATAGCATTGCATGGCTAATGTAAACAAACAGCCAGAGCTGGAGGCTCATGTTTATCATTCCAACTTTAAAAACAACCTGGGATTTCATTGTATTTTGGGTTCCCAGTAAGTAGTTCTAAACATGCAAACCTCCGAACAATGTTCAAGCAGGCAGGCTATGAAACCTTAAAGCAATAATGAACGAAATCAAAACATCCTCAACACCTAATGCTTCCAAAAAAAAAAAAAAAAAAAAAAAAAAAAAAAAAAAAGGATATCTGGCGTCCATGTTTGTCGACGGACAGCGGCCGACGGTGAGGAGAGGTGATGCGGTTCCGGTCACGGTAAACCCGCTCCACCAGCCCGTGGTGTCTAGTTGTCCGACTGGTATCCAGCACAGAGTTCTAGAATGAACACAGCATGTGAATGAGGACAGCGAAACAGCTAACTTAGGCAACAAAACTACATCTTAGGATAATGTCTTAGGATTTAATGGTGCATATGTGTTTATTTCAAAATGAGTCAAGCCATGGGTCCCCCATACTGATGCTCGAGTTGGCAAATGTATTTAAAGATGGAAAGCCATGACAAGCAATGACATACTTTGAAATTTAGGAACCAAATTACACTGCAGGGTTGAACTGGTATGCCTTGTTTTACACACTTCTGGTTTATTTTCGCTCCTGAACTGTGATTAAATCTGGTCCGACTATGCAGCTCTGACCAGCAGCTCATTTCTGAACACTTAACTGCCGTCATAGCCAAGGCTAAGCCTGCAGACTTCTCCGTTTTGAGCCAATCTTTCACCAATACTACAAATAACTGCAACCTTTGTATGTCCAATATTATCACCAACAGCTAAGAAAGGTACACTGATCGAGAACAAACCATTGATTTACCAGCCGAGAGAGGCTAAGGGCTCACCTGAAAAGGCAGGTCAATGTTGCCATTTCCAATCTGATTGACATTGGGCAGTGAGCCTCCATAGTACTGTCCACGATTCTGCCCTAGTTGCAAATACTGGGTCTTCTGTAACTGCAACTGTGCAAAGTAAAATTGCATGAAAGCATGAGTGAATGATTGATCTGACTCACAAATAAAGTGATGCTAAAAATGAATGAGACCTGTAGTCCACACTGGTGAAATGAAAGATGAATGAGTCCATTAATTGACAGACGTAACACGATGAGACAGGCAAATTGGCTGTTTTATGAACAATCGAGACGACATCTTTCATAGCAGAAAAAAAAAAAAAAAAAAAAAAATCACATCAGCTGATGTGACTGACAGCTGGTGTGATTACAGTCGTTCCATGTGAGACACACCTGGTGAGTACATGAGCCACATGTCTTAGTATTATTACAAAAACACTGTGACGAAGTCCTCTTTCACCAATGATGACGTTGATAATGATCTGAACAAATGCAATGGATTGATGTTGAGATGGCAACAGAAAGAAATCTGGCAGAGACCACAAAACTGACTGGTTAATTTTGTTTTTTTTCCCCTGAAGTTAATTACAGTACAGCTCAGCTATACACGGACGCATTGTGCGATAAGTGTCTTACAGTGGGCATCACTTCCAGCTATCTGGCTAACAAATAGCTCAAACATTTCCTCAAGCTCAAGATGTTCCTCCTCCTGTGGTTACTAGAAACAATTAGTTGATTCAGTGTGATTAGTTGCTCAGCAGAGCATTGGTGAGCAAAAATGTGATAACTAATTAGTGTTTCCAGTCATTTTTTAAGTAAGAAATCCAAACATACTGCTTTCTTCTGTTTAATGTCTTTTAGTGCAGTGCGTCTACCTCCGTTACCTGTTTACTGATACTTTATTGAGTAAACTAAGGCTGCAATTGTATCATTTTCATCACCAATCAATCAGTAAATAATATTTTCAATCAATTGTTTTGTCTATAAAATGTAGTCTCGTGAGTGTTAAAATTGCTTGTTTTCTTTAATCAACAGTCACAAACCCAAAGACATTAATTGTATTATTAAAACCAGTCAATCACCACATTTGAGAGGCAGGAACCAAAACATTCGGCATACTTGCATATTACATGAATGATTAATTATGAAAATCAATTATTGCATTAATTGACTAAATAATAAATAGTTGCAACCTTTAAGGCAACTGTTTACCGTTGATGGGACAAAGTTGACTTAACATTAACTAAATTAAACTGTATAGATGAAGCTAGTAAAAAAATAAAAATAAAAATAAAAATAAATAAATAAATAAATAAATAAATAAATAAATAAATAAATAATAGACATGAGTTGGTTAGAGCTGCATTTATTTTCCACAAGTCTTAAATTAGCTTCTTGTTAAAAACAAAAGCTATCTAACATGCTAATGTGACGGGTACACGAGTGTGGCTGGTTAACGGGGAGGAAAACATCACAGCTGGTTAACAGCTGACTGGATAAAACACATGCTAACTTAGCCCTGACGGAGCAGGAGCTCCTACTGAGGTTCTAGCAGCCGACTTCCCCCCCCCCCCCCCACCCCCCAACATGTTGTTATAACCTACAGTTCAATAACGTTACATGTCAGAAGATGCGTTTGCTAACGAGATGACAGCAGTGACTGGTCAAACCTGCACAGGTGCACATCATCCACAGCTCCATCGAGCTAGCTGAGCTAGTTAACGATGCACACGAGGAGCTCGTTACAGCTGAAAACCGCTAGCACGATTTAAACAGGCAGGGTGGGACATATATTTGGTGGTGCTGAACTGATGTAGCGACGGACATTAATATTAACTTTATCTCGCGCTACTTAGCATCCCTTAGAGTGATCTCCGCAGCGCTCGACAAACTGCCACACGGCGACGCAACAAAACGGTTGTGCAGGTCTTACCCGTGCGGCTCTGGTGATGTTCAAGTCTTTCATCACTTCTTCAAACGCAGCGGTCTCCTCCGCCTGTTTCTGATTATGCAAAGCGATTTTTTCGCTAAATTTGCGAGGATTGTTAGAGGACGCCATCTTTCCCTCTTCTTCTCAATGGAATGTTACGCTACACACCACGCAGGGGCCTTATGGGGTCGTCATCACGCACGGACAGCGGCACAACAGTCGATGTCTTTGCCATCAGCTGATGAGAGGAAAGATAGCGCAAGATTATTTGGTACCCAAGATGTTGCATGTACTGAAATTAGTGCAAATAAGGTTCTTGTTTTTGTCAAGTCAAGCTTCTACACTGGTTATGCTTCAAGAAGATGAAGGTGAGAAGCATTGTCTATGATGCTCAGTAGCTTGAGCATCATCCTTCTCGCTGACATTTCCACCAGATTATCAAATTCTGGCTTTACAGAATACATCCAACTCTTAATATTTTTCAAAAGTTCTTGTTATACTCACCAAAATATATTGCTATTTAAGTTTTGGACATCTAGCTTCCAGTGTAATATGTTAATAATTTTACATACATTATGTAACACTGGTCAAGAGAAAGCAATGGTATGAAAAATGTCACACACCGCTATACTTAATATTGCAACTGTAAGCACTGATCAAATTCCCAAAGGAACGTATTTTATTTAAGGGAGTTAAGCTAGTACAGTTACAGAGCCTGGGCTGTCCTAGTCATTAAACCATATAACCACAAAACCCAGTGCCGCTGGACAGGGAGTCTTGTTGCCCGTCGTGCGTCCGTGTTTTGGTGATGCAATATATTCACACCTTTAATAATCTGGTTTGTGATATAGTTTAAGCAAAAGTAGAGCCTTTGTCTCACAGAGGGTGAGAGGCAAACGGGACAAAACTGTATGTACTGTACGTAGATCCAAAAGGAATTTTTGAAAGGATAAAAAAATGACATTTCAACCTTCAATGACAAACGTTTTGTTTGTCTGAACTGAGAAGTTAACTGAGCAGATTTCCTCAGAACATGGCCCAAACTCTTTTGACAGAGAGCAGAACAGAAAAGACTTGAGTTTGAATGATCTCGTGTATATTAGATGGAAACAAATGCTTATGCTGTGGGTTTGATGCCTTTCTGTTTTACATCACTGCAAATTGAATATATTCTTGTTCGGATCGGTTGGTTGGACAAAACAAGGTCTCTAAAACGCCGGCATTTTGAAATGGATCAATCAAGAAAATAATTGTTGCACAAAAATGTTCCCTTTAAGTGTATGCTGGGAGTCTGTTGATAGAAGCAACCTGTTATAAAGAAAGGCATTATACTTCAGTTGACTTCATCCTGCAGTATCAAAAAGAGATCAGAGAAAGCTCCGGAAGGGTATTTTTTGAAACATGATACACCTTTATTAAAGGATGCACATCAAGATTTACAAATGTCTACATTCCCCTTTGACAACAGCAGTTTCCTTTATATTGCACTTGAACAATATAATGTGCTTTTACAGGTAAGACAAATACACACTAAGGCAACAGGAGAAATGGACACAATCATGTGGATGATGACATTTAATAAGAAAAACAAGAACTTCAGCTTCCTCCTTCCTTCAACACACATTAAGTATAACGGTGACTTCAGCAGCAGAATCAGATGTCTGATATATACAGCTTTAAAAGGTAATAAAATAAAAACACGAGCCAGCATTAAACGCGGCAAATGGATAGTTTAGGTAGCTTTTCTGGGGAAATTAGATTTTTTTGAGAATAGTTTAAATATTTAACCTGCATTAATGCAAATCACCCGTGTCCCTTAATTTTAGTCAAGATACAAAAGCATGTGGTACACCAGATTTATCACTTGTTTAACATAAAGAGCAGCAGACACCGACTTTACAACTGAAACACACACATGAATGATTTATGTAGCTGCCTTAAGGGGTCCACACCGGTTTGACTGAGAGAACAATTAGTGTGCCAGTGGGGGGGTTTCAGCTCAGGAAACACAAGGGCAATAATAAAAATAAAAAACATTAACGCCCACATGGAGTATGCGATTCCAAGCTAAACACAAACTACTACTTGTGTTCATTTGTGCAATCATTACTGTGCATTGTGATTTGTTGATAAGTACATTTGAGGAGACATAAGAGTAGTTTGAATAACATTTTAAAAAAACTTTACAACATAAAAAGCAGACAAATAAAACAGTCACAACTGTACAATCAAAATGTCTAACATCATAAAGGTGACGTCTGTTAATACCTTCGCAAACACACACATAAAATGACACACTTTGTTCGGTCTGTAACTTCAGCCCTTGAATGGTAAAAATATAACACTAAGTTTTACAGACCAAATTATGATTAATATGTAAATAAGAAGTGTAAAAAATTAAGGTTCCGGAAGAGAACTTGTATCTTCACAGGTCATCTGGAGATAATATTACCACTCAATAAATTAAGAATTCCAACAGGAAGTTACTCTGAACATTAACTTCACAACAGTCCTTTCAAATTGTCATTTAGAAGCTTGTTGATTAAACACATTGTGGCAAAAGCAAAACAAGTACACACACACACACACACACACACAGTAGCTTACATAATGTTCACACCTTGTGTTGACTCAATGGCCGGCAGAAAGAGCACGAGGAATAAAATCTTCACAGTCGCAGGTCAGATGGTTAGCGTTGTGTCGTGTTCTGTGGAATAATAATTGGCGTACAAGCGATGCCAGCAAAGGATTCTGGGAAGTGCAAATCCCTCTCCCACTCGTCCGTCTCTGTGTTGTACACCTGCACGATGCTCGTGACATTGTTCAGGTGCCAGTTGTAGCCCCCGACGATGTAGATCTTCCTGTCCAGTAAACAGCAGCCTGCCTCAGACTGGCCTGCTCTCATGGGACTGACGGTGGTCCACTGGTCGTTCTCTGGAACGTAATACTCGGCAGCAAGCACGTCAAAACAACGGTCCACGTGGTCCATGCGGCCGCCCAGCGCATACACCCGGTCCCTGGTGCTGATCATGGCATGCAGCACTCTGGGTTCATTCATTGGGGCTCTGAAGTCCCACTGGTCCGACGCCGGGTCGTAGCAGTGAAGAGTTTTCTTGTCGTCCAACGAGACGCCGTAACCCCCTGAGATATACAGCTTTTCTCCACAGGGAGTCCCTGCGTGACCCCAAATCCTGCGTTTTAAGGGTTCCACGTTAGTCCACTCGTTCTTCTTCGGGCAGTAACACTCTACAGACGACAGACTGCCAGATCGATTGCGCCCTCCGGTGGCGTACAGCTGTCCGTGCAGCACGTTGAGCTGGAACTGGATGCGAGCCTCCTGCAGAGGCTGGATGCGCAGCCACCGGCTCAGATGCGGGTCGTAGCGGAAACAGCTGTCTACCGCCCCCTCGCCGCTGCGGTACTGCAAGTGCTGTCCCCCGATGACGTACACGAAGTTATCAAGTACGGCAACACAGGCGTGGCTGCACCCCGTCTCCATCTCTGACAGCTCTTTGAACTGACGGGACGCCATGTCAGGGAGATGGTACACCTTGGTGCTCACTGTGCGGTCGTTGTCCGTGTAGGGCGTCCCGCCAAAGGTGATGACTGACAAGACGTCAGAACGCGTGACCGTCCGCGAAGACTGCATCTCGTGCTGTCGGAAGGGAAGAATCTGGTAATTGAAGGCCTCGAGGAGATACTGCCGGCACAGCACGTCCTCCACCATGATGTCCACCGTCTGAACACTGTCCACCAGCTCAGAGGAGCGCATGAGCGGGAAGCGCACATGGCAGAGGACACCGCTGGCCTGAGCACGGCGCGACTTGTCAAACCGGAGCCACCGGATGGCGGCGTGGAAGAGGTCGATTTCGCTACAGTTCTTCAGCTTGTTGCTCTGCAGAAAGAAGACGAGGCGCTCCGTGGGAATGTGCAGGAAGTCCTCCTCCTCCGCAATCTGGAGGAAGTGGCGGAAGGTGAAGGTGTCCACCGACTCTTTCAGGGAGGACAGGCTGAAGGTGGTGGCCATCTGGCCAATGTGCAGGCAGGTCTCCACGCTCATCGCCGACTTGAGGAACTCCTCGCAGAGCTCCACAACGGGGACCATCTGGAGGAACACAGCTGCCCCGAGGACATCCTGAATACAGTCCAGGTCTAAAGTGACTTCTGCACTGTAGGCAAAGTCAATGATATGTTTCAGCCCACGGGCGGACAGACCCTTCAGCTCAATGGTATCTTGATTTGACTCCCTCATGCCTCCGGTAAACATTGCTCTGTAACACAAGAACAAGTCGGTGAACTACACGATAAGTCCATTTCTTCTCAGAGCACTTATATGATGCGAATAAGCTTTCTTATTTATGGATTATTGTTTAGTCCGTGGCAGATTAACTGAAAACTATCAAATGAGAAAAGTGTGGAAAAGTGTACAGTATATTTGGCTACATCTTTATGTCACCCATTTGTTTTCATTTATCCAATTTGTGTCGAATAATCTCATTTCAAAATGTCCTCACTTCCCATTTCTGGAATGCATGTTCCTACAGTGTATATAATCACTAGGAACTCTGTAAAGTCAAGTGCAAAGGCTCCGATTAAAATTAAATACAAGCACAAGTGAGTGTATCATTTGGTATTTTGTTGTCCTCCCTCCTTTAACTTCCTCCCGCAAACTGAATTGCTTTTAACATAGTTGATCTGTGAACTGCAGCATACTCTCAACAGTGCACTCAGTGTAAATTGCTCTGGATAAGAGCATCGGATAAGTGCTTCCAATATAAAAATGTAAATGGACGGTGAGAAGTCTTGGGATTCAGACTGACCTGAAGTAATCACTACAGGCGGCCAGCACAGCTTTGTGGACCTGGAAGCGCTCCTCATTGATGGCCAGCACAACGTCAAGTAGTTGGCCCCGAGCCCGCAAGACCGACAAGCCCTGGAGGAGGGTGGCACTGTGGCTTGAGGTGGAGAATGTACAGCGCAGGGTGCTATTCTTGTTAGCCATACTGGAAAGAAAGAAAAAAGGGCTTTGTCACAATCAGTTAACCAAGGGATCCTTCAGAATAAAACCATGGCTTTCCATGGCTTCAATTCTTAACTGAACTAGGAGACTTTGTTCAATTTTAAATATATTGTATAGAGTTAGAAGCTGTAATATTCAGGCCGAGCAGGCTGTATATCTCACGAACATTAAAATGTGATCTATATGTGGATATCATGTTAACTCAAGGCGCAGACGCACACAGCAATACTGTGATGGGAATTTGATCTGATCTGCCTCAGTCAGCCAAGAGGAAATTCAATCTGTAGCGTACAATGTCTTGTAGTGAGAGCAATTCTGCACACAGGAAAGAAACAACACCGCTATCAATAAAAATGTCACCGCTCTGTTTAGACTATTTGTTGCTGCACAACAGAAACAAATCCGTCAGTAAGAGGCATGACTGCCACATGTACGTACAGTATGAACGCAATCTCAGTGTGCAGAATGAACACGTGGTTGTTGATAGAAAACCCCGATGTTTCATTAGCTAAATCTGAAAAGGGACGTTAAGCCTGCTTTGGCTGATTGGAGTGGGTAAAAAGTAACTCTCAGAATGAAAATACTTCAGGCTGGTGTTTGAAGAAGCATTCACCATCTGGACTGAACTTTACTAATAGGCAGGACTGGATCTTCAAAGGATAATTGGTTGGGCATATTTTAACAGTTGATCCACCGGTATCACCTTGGATATCATTAAGGGGCCAAACTTTTTTTTGCAGTGGTTTAGAAACAGTTTGGTTATTACATAAGGCATCAGCCCAAATACAATATTTGTATCCTTATATGTGGTATTCGTGTTACGTTTGAAAAATGAGCTCTCTCTTTCTTTTTGAATGGAGCGAGTACTGTTCCCTGTGCTGTTGCATTAAAGGAGTGTTGCATTATGGGCTGTTTGTAGCCTTAGCTAGTGAGTTTCTAATTCATATCGTTTTATAATGCGTTTTCTGAAATTAAAATGAAAGGGTTTTGGAAGGAGTTTTCTGACGGCTCGTGTACCGTAAAGGACCTTTTTACACCGAACACGTTGACTGCACCACTGCGCTCTGAAACCCATCATTTCTAATGGTTTGCAAACTGTGTCCCGTGTGAAGGGCTCTTGATGTGCTGTGTGCAGTCAGAACAAATTATCACTGCCAAGAAAAGGTGGGTCATCTTATATTCAGGCCAATTCAAAAGTGTATCCATCGGAAAGCCACACAACTTTATTTTTCAACTTAAGCCTCCTGTTTTATTTACATACTGTGACAGCAGACATTTTGACTTGACACAATAGTAAAAGTTAACGAGCCATCATTAATTTAATCATTCACACATGTGATTTTCCTATTGTGGCTTATCTACTGTGGAAATTCAGCCAAATTGAAGTGATCAAAAACATTTTGTGTCAGCTGATAGGCCGATATTGTACTTAGATTTTTAAACTTTCTAAACGTTGATATTAGCATCAAAGGCCCAGTATCAACAGTCAAGGTGTTCCATCTGATTTTATTAAAAATATGTGTGGGGGGGGGGGTTATAAAAACAAGTAAAGAGAAACTTCCACTTTCACATTTCTGTTCACAATTTGCAACTTTGTTGATCAACGTGTTTGTTGTTCGGCCTAGTATTGTTACCTAACTTTGAATGTGTTCTGTTGTAGATAAACTAATGATAACTATAACATTAACTAGGGGGCCGTTATGGCATCGACACTTCCAAAAACTGTTGAAAGTATTAACTTAGACATTAAAATATAAGAGGAAACGCTTTGCCAAGTAGTCAACAAATATGTTTAAGTTCACCTGCTACTAAACACGAGGCGACTTTCTAAACGGACCATTGTTACATTACATCCTCACTTTATCTCCACCGTTACTCATAGATATAAAGAGCAGGCAGTGTGGAGGCCCGGGACAGCTCCTCGGTGTTTCCCGGAGTCAAGCCGCTACTCCGGGACGTTCCAGCGGGCTTGAACGGGGCTGCAGTCCCGGAGCGGTGAAGGCTTTCGCACAAGGTAACACCGAGGGACCGGGGTCCACCACCGCGGACGCTCCGGATCCTCAACCCGCTTCACTCACCTGCTCTGTGGATGTTTCGAAGCATGATCCCCGCCATCCGACTCCGCCATCTTCTAGCACAGAGCAACACGCATGGAGCATTTTCAGTGATGTTACCAGAAAGCCAACGGCACGATTGGCCTGTTCATGTTTTTTTTTAAGTATGGGAACAGTCTGTTTATCAGGCAGGGACAGAGGACAGCCGTCTGTCTCAGGTCCTGTGGTAAACCGTGGTGAATACGGTGCTGGTCTCTCCTACCGGTTGTTTGCGGCACGTCCCTCCTCTGTACCAACGAATGCTGGCGCCTGGGTGGCGCCACTGTGCCATGTAGGCCTACTGGTGTACTGATGGCGCTGGAGAAGTTGAACGCTCCCAAACAGTGGTGAAAAAGACGTTCAGATCCTCTAAGTAAACATAGCGATGAGTATAAAAACCTAGACAACAAGTAAAATTCCTTTAATTTTCATAATTGAAAGTTGAAATACCATAATGTATGCAAAGTAAGAAAAAACATGCAAACAGACGAAACATAAACAGATTATTAAACCACAAACCATTGCAACAAGCAAAGTCCCAGCCGTGTGCATTACTTTTTAGTGTCCCACCAATTACCTTCCGTTTTGTCTATTGACATTTGTTTTCTTAATTTGGTGTTTTTTAAATTTGCTCTCAGGGCCACCCCACAAAGGTACTGAAGTAAGAGTACAAAAGTATTATCAGCAAAATGCACTTAAGGTGTCAAAAGTAAAAGCACTTATTATGCAGACAAATGGGCCCTCATCATCTAAAATAAATGATGTCTTTTATTATTATACATAATATTATTGGATTAATGATTAATGTGTAATGTAATCTATGATAGATTGGTGACCTGTATGGATTATAAATATTTGATGGAAATTAAATTGAAATATCTCTGGTTCTGTTGTCCTCAAAGATCTTAAATATCCCATATACTGTAAGTAAACTATGCTGTATTCTATGAAGTAACATCATAAATACTTTCAGATCAACTATTTCAGCAAATAAAAAGACAGGTTAACAGCCTTGTGCTGTTGTTGCAAAGACACTTTATTGTTTTAATTTCTTCAGTTCTTGGAGAATTCAATATTTAAAAGTTCTACAGTATTTTCAATTAGAAGTTATCCAGATGACTTTGTTCCAGGGTGAGCAACATGGCTGCAAATCCTGCAAAAGTTTTGTCGTGCATAAATAAATGAAGTGCAAACAAATACAGTCTGTAAAGCATTTGCCCTGTTTTGTGTATTAGACAAAGAATAACATTTGTTCAGGGAAGTTATGGAGAAACTTCTTTTTTTTTTTTTACTCCTCACCAGTGATCTGCACCAAATCCGTTACTCCTCTCCAGCGCTCCTCTTGTACAGAAGTCACTTTTTGAAAGTGCAAGTGATTTGATATGAAACTTTATCTTTGTATAAATGGGAAATGGGATAAAAAATGAGGATGTAAGGTGAGGAAGAGTTGCATGAGAATGAACGGCTCAAAGACAACATGAGCTTGAGAGAAACACTTGAAATAGTTGAACATTGTTCACATCACAATTTAACAGATTTAAAACATTCAAATGCAAAGTTACACAAATCAAACAGTAAGTCTAAAGTCTATTTCAGTATGGAAACCTGGACCATATGCTGCCCTAACCTTCTCCTCTGTTATCCTGCCTGTGTATAGAGGTCACAACACAATCAACCTAACTGTGACGACCCTCCTCCTATCATACACTAGGTGCCCCGGTTGTGTTTCCTTTTGTTACAGATGCTGATTGGAGGCTCGTCAGCAGGATGAGCCACACATGTGCCGGTGTGGCTCTGCCTTAAAATACCCTCTCCAGTTGGCACCCGGTGGCTCTAAAAGGAAATCTTTTTTGACTGGCTCACCACAGTTGTTGCTGTCTTTGTGTAAAGCAATGCTAACCTTGGGTTACTTGTTTTTGGCAAGACAAATAAATTGCTTCTGTTGGCTGCCAGCTCGTTATCTCCCTGTTGTTCCAGTCTCTGAGCCGGGCTGTGACAAGTTGTTTTGTTTTCTTAAGCTAAACATAGCCTAATTGAGATTGCAGTTTTGAAACAGCAAAAGCACCAAGTGTGGTTAAAGCACTATAATGGTGGTATACACATATGTATACAGAAATGTTGATGTGAAAAGTATTTTTGGTTCAGAAACTGCAGGGATTCAACGTATTTGTGGTTTGTAGAAAGGTCAAATAAACAAAAATGCTGCTACTGGAGACTCCTCCAGTTTGTCTTTGACAGGAAGCCTAGAAATTAACTTCAAAAAAAAAAAGGAAATCAGCAAAATTACTTCAGAGTTGTCACTTTCACAATGGCTGTTGTGTCTGTCTGGTGTCAAACACAAAACTCCCCCCGCCCCTGACACTTCTGGTTTTTGCTGCAGTTCATATAAACTGAGACATGAAACCTCTCTGACATTTCTGAGAAAGACAAGTGAGTTACATGAAGGCAGGTTGAATGTATGGACTCTCACACGCTGAAGAATGAGCCTCCGAGACTTTCCTCTACACCTCATGGAAACTTTGAAATGCTGGAGATCACTTCGTAAATACATTGTTGTGTTTATGTTCCTTATAACGGTCAGCAAAGGTAAATAAATACCCTCTATCTTTTCTTTTCCTACTTCATTTAAGTTTCCTGATAACTTTTACTGTTAACCTCTATCTGATAGTATCAAAAAACTTTTCACACAATCACACATATGAAAGTGATAATTCTCTTTCAGTAAACGTTGAACATCAGCCACCAAATGTTGGTGAGCTTATCAGCATCATGTGGTTTCCATTTGCATCCGCACTGCACTGCTCTGCTCTGTGCAGCCATATTTAAGTGCCAGCCTTCATAGTTTCATGTTAGCTGATATTTCACACATTTCCTTTTCAGAAACAGGATGTTTATTTTCTCAATTCTGAGCTTACGTTCGCTCAGTACAAGGAGACAGACTGTAGCGTCATTGAATAGATATTAATTAATTAATATCAAAATATGTAACGGTTATAAATAACTGAATTATAAACGTATGGATTATTATTGAAGGAGGGATGGCACTCAGCTTAAACCACAAGACACAATTAGTTTAAGTAAGGACGCCAACCAATTTTGGAAAAAGCAGGGAAAACTTCAAATTTGATATTAATCAATTAAGTCTCAATCTCAGGGCTGCAACAGTCTTCTTGTCCTGGTGTAGTGACTTATTATTTAATATACACACAAATTAAATGATCAAGTTCTTAATAACTTATATTTATTAGCCTAACTACATAACTCTATTCTGAAAATAAATGAATAAACGATCAAATGAACAGAATGAAGAATATGATGATGAGTACAATGAATAACGATGAACACGAATGAAAAGGGATAACATGTGACCAGGTAGAATCAATATATTACTGCACCGTTCAACAGTTGACAGTTTAAGAAGCACCAGGGAAGATTGTGAAGTAATGTGGTATTAGTTCTTATTTAAGGGAGATCGTACTTTAGATCTTAGGCTTATTGATTAACGTTCATTTATTTCTCAATTAGTCTAGCATCTAAAGATAACCTATTAACTAGCATTACTCTGTTAACTGACATGAGATTTATTTGTCCTAGAAACCTCGAACTCATTCACATCTGAAAATGTATTGGTTTCCCCTGACCTGGTTCTGATGGGCAGATGGGAGGTTAAGCTGTATGAAGTAGCGGTAGTTCCCTTTTGTCATCTCTGCATCTTGGATCTTGTTGGATGGCAGTAGTCTGTTTGAATCGCCTCCTTCCATCTCTCGCTCTAGGGCAGTTGGTATTGCTTACG